GCGCTTAACTACAAAGAGGAGATGGAGTGACTCTTCTTTCAATGTCAAACTTCCATCGGCCATTTACCTTACCATAGCTGCGTAAGTGGGTGAATTCCTCGCCCTGAATTACATATCGCACGCAATCGGGCGCCCAAAGGGAATATTCCTCGCCTTCTGAGTCTTTGAGGACTAACCGCAAACGGTCGATGTCTTCGAAGACGACGTAATTTTTTATTTCATATGCTTTGCCGTAAATCAAATCACGCCAATGTATTAGATTCAGCCTCATTATATCTATGAAATATTCTTAAGTGCGTTGCCCTTGTCTCCGTAGTCTTGAAGCGTTTGCAGCACCACCGACAGGGAATACGGATGCCTTCCGCGTATTTGCTAAGGGCACGACAGATGACGTCATAATCGTTGCTAACCATGGTCAGGTAACCATTCGCGTCATACCGAGAGATCACTAGGCGTTGGTCTGCGGAGAGTACGCCATTTCCTTTCGGCGTCTTTAATTCGATGCAAAGCCCTTTATACTTTAAATGTGCGTTCAATATTAAGAGGTCGGGTTGACCCCTTTGATAACCCTTCTGCCAGCATTTTATGCGTTTGCTGTCAGAATCCTGCAATTCCCCTAAGCCGGGCGCTATGAGCATCTGTGGGTAGAAGCGGCGTATGTAGTCCACGACTTTCTTATGCAGGTCGAACTCATTTTCCATTTTGAAGACTAACTTGTTTGGGGTGTCAAACCGCGTTTCATACTTACCTGTCTTTCTAAGGGTGGGGAGTACTTCCTCGAATATCCAATCGCGGAATTCCACGGCTTTAGGTAACTTCGAGCTAAATATCAGTTCGTACAAACCAGGTTCGGAGATGAACACGGTATTTGGTTTGGGGGAACGAATCGTTCCTCCTAACTCATCCAATCTTTTCTGGTACTTTTCGGAAACGTGATCTCTAATTGCCTTCCTGGTGTTTTCATAATTTAACGCCAGCGCAACCTTCTTTGCTTTGAAGTAAAGTTTGTCGCCTTGCACTATGCATTGCAGTTTGGTTTCGTTGTTTTCGAATACGCGAAGCATCGTATATCAACGATATTTTTTATCAAAAATATCCTAGACCCTAGAATGGCTCAATAGGCGACGCTCTTTAGCTGATTCATTTCTACACTCAGTTGCGCGTCAGACACCACGAAAACGTAGCAGTTTATCTTATCACCGTCGCCGGCGACGGTGTTCTTGGTGCGCTTGATCTCCAATGTTATGCCATCCTGCGTATTTACTAGACGTAAACCCTGGCCATGCAGGTCTTCGTCGTTCGTTGTGCGCATGTCGATCCACAGCGCGTACTTATCCTTAAAGAATTCCTC